CTTGGGCAGCATGGGCACTCCTCATGCAAATGTGAGAGTGGCGGACTGCATCCTCAGCTTATGTAGGCTGAAACCAGCAGTCCGGCCAGCCCATGAGCCTCCCCATGAGCCTTGAGGTGAACCGAGGTACCTCCAAGGCAAAATTCCCTCACTATGCCCTTCTGGAGGTACCTGAGCCTTATTTTGGCCAAGTACATGCAGTCCAAGTGGTTGGTACCAACTCGGACGGCCTCTTGGCCTACCCCGGCCTCTTTTTCATTGCTCAAATGCTGCCCCCTAGGGTCTTGATGCCCAAGGGGCAGCAATTCTTGAAAGAAAAAGGCCTTCTCAATTTTTTTAAGTTTCGGCCTCTTTTGAGTAGGCCGGAGCATTTTTCCATATGGCGGCACATTTTCAGCCTTGGATCTGGCTGAGATCCAAGGCCAGCAATAATCCGAGCTACCCCCTAGTAGCCATTGCTTCAATTTTGAGCCCCTAAGTCCAGTTTTTCAATTGTTGGTGCATATGGCTCTCTTTTTGGGCCAAATGCACTGTTTTGTCCTTTTCCCTCTTTTGTTTCTTTTCATTTTGGGCTGCCACCTCATTCTGGAGCTAGCCGTTTTGAGCTGGCCCTAAAAAAACGGCTAGTTCCTCTCTACCATGAGATCTGATCTTAGATCCATGGCTCAAAATAAAACCGGCCACTTCTTTTTTGCATTTTCTCTCATTTTCAACTTTTTAATTCAGATTTTGGGTCATATCTCTGCAATCCGGATTGCCCTCCCTCATTCTAGGAGGGATGAGGTCACTGTTGGGACCTGCCAGTCCCTACTGTGCAAGTCCCAATAGGCTGGCACACTCTCCTCCACTCTTTTCTCCCCTTTTGTCTCATTCTTCCTCCTTTTTCTCTCATTTTTCTTTCTTTTTCTCTTATTTCTGTTGTGACAAGTGTCAAACTGTTGTTCACCCTCTTTCTAGGCCCTAGGGCCTCATTCAAGGCCAGGTTCATGGCTGTTACATGGCCGTTACATCTCGGATTCCAATAATGGCACCCCCATGCTCCTAGCGGGCTCCATTTTGCTCCCGTTTGCCCAATTTTGAGCCCCTTTTGCTCCGATTTTCTAAGGGCAGCCTTTTTCTCATGTTGAGCCTCTCAAGGCTATTTTCTTATGCTTTGCTAGTCCGAGATATCCCGGACTGCTGGGCAGCCTTCCCAACATCCTTATTTCACTTTTCTTTCTCCCATGGCTCTCCCACTTGCTCCCACTAGTGTTTGCACTAGTGATGCTAATATTTTCCACCGTCCAGATCCTTGATCTCGACGGTGCCGTTTGCTCGCACAATTATTTATTGTGTCTGCTCATGGTTCCCTTGGGACATCCCAAGTCCCCGCCATTTTCCTACATGCTAGCTCCATTTCCTCGTCCCGCCGGCGCATGTCCCATTTTTCGATTTTTATTATTTGGACTCATTTGGTCCCCGACAACATTCCGGACGACGTCCCATTTTTATTTTTTTGGTGCCCATTGCCCTTGGTGGTCCCATCATTTTACATGTGTGCTGATTTTTCTGGGTCGTGAGATCTCATCTCACGGTTGCCGTTTACCGTCTTTACTTGCCCTCTTGCCGAAATTCCCCATTTTCTAGCCTTCTGGCTTGCCGTAGCCCATTTCCCCTTGGCCTTGGCATCCCCATGCAGTCCGTAATTTCTCGGACTGCAATCATGGGTGTTTTCTACACCCACAGCCCCACAACTTGCCCCATGTTAAAAGAAAGTGAAGCGTTAAATTTCTTAGTGCATCCGGGCTCAATATTGGCTCCGGATGCACCTAGAACATGCGTTTTCTTTCCCCCACGCAGTCCGTTGTAACTCGGACTGCAATGGGGGTCAATTCCTTAGCCTCAATACCCCACAACTAGCCCTTACTCAAAAGAAAAAGCAATGGCCAACTTCCAAGTGCATCCGGACTTGATTTTGACTCCGGATGCACCAAAAACATGTGTTTCTCCTCATGCATGTAATCCGTTTTATTTCGGTTGCAAGAGGCCTTGATTTTCTTTGATTTTCTCTGCAAAAATAAAAAAAAATCAAAGTCCTTTGTAACCGCCATATTCCAGAATGAATCTGGTCACGGATGAATCTCCCCAAGTGACCGTTTTTTACCGTTAAGGTCTTTTTTTCTTTTCTTTTCTTTTCTTTTCTTTTCTTTTCTTTTCTTTTCTTTTCTTTTCTCCTCTTTTCTTGGACAGTAGGGACCTGCCAGTCCCTACCTATGACAGTCCCTACTGACGGCCAACTCACTCACTCCCTCTCACTCTTTTTGTCTTATTCTCCCCCATTTTCTTTTCTTTTCTCAATACACATTTCGTAAAAAATGAACTTTTTGTCAAAAAGTGAACTATTTCGAGTGCGAATAAATACTCAGTACATGGCCCAATAGGGCATCATGCGACACTTTAAATGGTCAGTAAATGAGGTGTTGACATGGCAAATGTTGCGGCGGGGCATTTTGAGCCCTTCATACATGAATAGTCGTTATTAAATGCGAATTAACACAGTGTAAAAAGGGGCAGGGGCTCTTTGTATGACACCCTGACAATGTTGTCCTGGCTTAGTGTTGCTGTGACAGACAGTACACGATTCAAAAGGGCATCGTGTTGGGTATGTGGTGCCTGTTTTCCATAAAAGGTCAGGGGTCCGGCGCCCGACACCTTGCAAGTTGATAAACTGAACCTGTCAACTGTGGTCGGGCGGAACACCCAGCCTGGTGCACGACATTTGGCAAGTTGAACCCGCAACCCGTCAGTACCCAGGGCCTGACACGAACCCGCAACCCGTCAGTACCCCCGCAACAACTGTGTCCACCATTTATCTTCCCGGAAGGACCTGAGGCTCCTTCTCCGGTTGACAAATAGTAGTTGAACAGTGTCACCGAATGATTCGGGAGTTAATGATGTTCGACAGAGCACCTTAAGGAAGTGGCAAACAGTCGTTCGCTGTCGATGCCGATTGCCAATAGCACTGTTAGGGGGCCTTGATGCTGGTTCCCGATCTGTTTGGCGATCGAGCAACTTGAAGAAGTGTGAAAGAGTCATTGGTTGTCTGTGTGGATTGTCATTAGCACTCTTAGGGAAACTTGATGCGAGATCTGATTTCGGGTCGTGTGTGTGTGTGTGTGTGTGTGTGTGTGTGTGAGAGAGAGAGAGAGAGAGAGAGAGAAAGAAAGAGAGAGAGAGAGAACGCTCCTTGCTTTAACCCGGAAAGGCATTGACAGAGCAGATATCGGTTTGGTGACTGAGCACCTTCCACAAGTGTCAAGCAGTCGACGTGAGGATGGCCATGCACTCTAAGGGAACCTTGATGCTGGGTGTGGATTTGCTTGCCGCAGGTTAGCAGTTGCTGGGCAGTCTTGGATGGTGAAGTCCGCCACCGGGGAAAGGTTTAATGGTCTGTGGTGGGACTTCCTGTTGGATTTGGATCTATTTCGAGCAGAGTTTCACACTCAAGAAACAGAATTGAACTCCAGATCCCGCAGGTTAGCAGTTTTTGGACATTGCTTGTGATGTTGTCGGGGTACACACCACAAGTCGGAGTGAACTCTCATTTAGATGGACAACATGAACGCACACCACTGACTTAGTGTTGCTGTGACAGACAGTACACGATTCAAAAGGGCATCGTGTTAGGTATGTGGTGCCTGTTTTCGATAAAAGGTCAGGGGTCCGACACCCGACACCTTGCAAGTTGAAGGACTGAACCTGTCAACTGTGGTTGGGCGGAACACCCAGCCAGGTGCACGACATTTGGCAAGTTGCCCGTCAGTACCCCTGCAACAAATGTGTCCACCATTTATCTTCCCGGAAGGACCTCCTTCTCCGGTTGACAGATAGTAGTTGAACACCAAATGATTCGGGAGTTAGTGGTGTTCGACAGAGCACCTTAAGGAAGTGGCAAACAGTCGTTCGCTCTCGATGTTGATTGCCAATAGCACTGTTCGTGAGAGAGAGAGAGAGAGAGAGAGAGAGAGAGAGAGAGACCTGGAAAGACATTGACAGATACTAGCTGAACAGCGAATCAATTCGCAGATATCGGTTTGGTGACTGAGCAACGGTCTGTGCGGATGGCCACGCACTATAAGGGAACCTTGGTCTGTGGCGGGACTTCCTGTTGGATTTAGATCTGTTTCGAGCAGAGTTTCGCACTCAAGAAACAGAATTGAACTCCAGATCCCGCAGGTTGTCAGTTCTTGGACATTTGCATGGACAACTAGCGGATTGCTCGGGGTACACACCACAAGTCGGAGTGAACTCTCATTTAGAATGACAACATGAACGCACACCATCAGCGAGGTGATACAATACGGATGTTGACTTGTTATTTGCATGGACAAATCAATAACATAGATTCCTAACATTCACTCTTGTCATCGCAAACATCGATCTCCTCCTTGACACGAGCATGTATAGGACTGTAAGACATTGGCATGAACATCGGAGATCGAAGCACTTGCAAGGTCATCGGCGTGTCATTTCTTTGCATGGACAAGATACATAACATCCATTCAGAACATTTACTCTTGTGACCGCAACGTGGAGATGGAAACACTCGCAACTTGCATAGTCTTTTCCTAACACTGCGCCTTCGTAAATGGAAACAGCGCACGCAGAGTTGCGAGAAATGTTCAAACCACTGAACCGCACATTGCAAAGTAGACAGGGGTTGTTTCCGAAAAAACGTTCGAAACAAAAAACAAGTAGTAGATAGAGGTGTGAGAGGCGTTGCAATAGGTGCGAGAGGCAACGTGTATGAAGTAGTAGATAGAGGTGCGAGAGGCAATAGTTGCAATAGGTGCTAGAGGGAACGTGTGATTGTCTGCATATCCACCATTTCAAGGTGCACATGCACATCATATTCCACAAGATTGTATTTTAACATGTTTTCCCTTAAACACAAGGTCATAGAAGTACACGACACGACATCGCAAGATGACGTAACATCGCGACACAGCACAAGATAGTTGTAAAACCAGAAGAGTTCATTAGAATTACAATCGCCCTTAAACACAAGGTATGACCACACGTTCGTATCTTATGACATATGGGGTTTCTCGCGGACGAGGTCGTGAACCGAAACCATACATGGCATTCGTAGATGATCCATATACGTAGCTCTGCGGTTCGTGGACAGTTGCATTCTCCGAAAACACGGACATGTATTTCATCCTGACAAACCCTCCTGATCGTGCTAAGGAATTCCCTATACAGTCTCGTATGTCGGACACTTTCTCTTCCACCTCATGCCACAATGATAAACATCTCACCCGAGTTGCTCTCACGAACTCTGACCGCCCATCTACATCGGGGGGAGACATCACATGCTTGAACTTGGATCCCTGAAGTACCATCTCGTTCCGTGCCATGAGCACAACTGCATCCACGAGTTTTCTACTTTTGTTTGAAGAAGCCACACATAACACTCTCGCGAAAGGACAGTCGTCATCAATCAACCGCACACAACATGTTTTCCCTTAAACACAAGGTCTGACAACCCGTCCGGACCTTGTGACATATAAGGTTTGTCGTGGACGAGGTCGTGAACCGAAGCCATACATGACATTTATAGATGATCCATATACGTGGCTCTGCGGTTCGTGGACCGTTGCAGTCTCCGAAAACACGGACATGTATTTCATCCTGACAAACCCTCCTCGCCGTGCTAAGGAATTCCCTATACAGTCACGTATTTTAGACACTTTCTCTTCCACGTCACGCCAAATGACAAAAAAACTCTTACCTGACCTGCTCTCGTCAAGTCTGACCGCCCATCTACATCTGGGCGAGACATGACCGGCTTGAACTTGGATCCCTGAAGCACCATCTCGTTGCGTGACACAAGCACAACCGCGTCCACAAGTTTCCTACTTTTGCTTGAAGAAGCCACACATAGCACTCTGGCGAAAGGACATCCGTCATCCATCAACCGCACACAACAGTACGATAGAGCTTGTGAAGAAGTCCCTGGGCAACGGGGTGGGTAGTGTTCCAAGAATGAACAATCACGAGCGCAGTCCACCAACTCTTGCTTCTGCGAACTTCCCCAAGTTTGTGGCGAAGATGTGATGTACTCGCAACCGAGGCGACGTCTGAAGCTGGTACGGTAGCGGATCGGCTTACCCTTATCGTCCAGGGTCTTTCGCTGGAGGACACCATCAGGCAGTGCAATGAGGCTCTCGAACTCTAACATGTTGGCAAACTTGTAATGGTTTGCCCAAGGGTAGACACGCTCCATCGCCTTCCAATAATTATCGTTCCATTCGTCGAGATGCCGGTTCATGTACGGTTTGATGGACATCCGTGGGTCCTCGTCGAAGTCCTCCTTGGCTGCTTCGTCGATCCACGTTTCACCGTCATGATGCCGCACCGATGTTGCACAAGGTGAAAACGGTTTTGCCAAGCGCATGTGCTTCTCGGGACTCAAGCTCATGTGCGTCTCGGGACTCATGCTGACGCTGGTCGAAGGTCTCGACGACATTACGCTCCCTACACATCACGGACACACAAACGACACAAACGACACAAACGGACGTGTAGACCGTCGTAAATAAAGTTGTCCAATGATAAGTCCCCTGGTGCGGTCAACACTCAACCGTCACGCCCGCACTACATATCGACAAGCTCGTCACTTAATCAAAGTGCGAGTGAACTCTCACTTACGTGCGAGCTAACCCTCACTTAAGCAAAGTGCGAGTGAACTCTCTCTTAAGTCTGACCACACGTCCAGATCTAGTGACATTCGGGGTTCCCCGGGGACGAGGTCGTGTACTGAAGCCATACAAAGCATTCATTGATGATCCGTACACGCCGATCTGCAGTTCGTCGACTGATGCACTCTCCGAAAAGACGGACATGTATTTCATCCTGACAAACACTCCCGGTCGTGCTAAGGAATTCCCTATACAGTCTCGTATATCGGACACTTTCTCCTTGACCTCATGATGCAACGAAAAGTTTTGGACCGGCCCTGCTATAACCAAATCTCGCCACCCATCTACACGTTCAGGCCCACGCGTCGGCACGAATTTGGACCCCTCAATTACGACCTCGTTGCGTGATACAAGCACAACTGCATCGACGAGTTTCCTGCTCCTGTTCGACATAGCGACACATAGAACTCTGGCGAAATCAGACCCGGACACTTTCAATCGCACACAACAGTATGACACAACTTGTGGAGAATTCCCGGGGCACCGGAGCGGGTACTGGTCCAGGAATGAGCAGTGACGAGCGCAGTCCAGCAACTCTTGTTTCCGCGAGCCTCCCCAAGTTCGTGGCGACGACCTGACGTAGTGGCACTCGAGGCGGTTGAAATGACGGCTAATGCAGCCCAGTGCTCTGCGCATATGGTTCATGAACTTGTGTCCGTGGACAACGTCAGACAGTGGGATGAGGTTCCCGAACTCCAACATGTTGGCGAATTCGTACTGGTTTGCCCAAGGGCAGCGAGTCTCCATCGTGGCCCAATTCCCATCGCACCAATCGTCAATATGCCCGTCCATGCATGGGACGACGGTCATCCAGGGGTCCTCGTCGAAGTCCTCTATGGTCGCTCCGTGGATCGTAGTCACACCGTTGAAATGCCGCACTGATCTCGCGCAAGGAGAAACGGTTATGCCAAGCGAATGCGCGTTTTGGGACTCATGGTTTGTGGTGTCGAGAAGATCGACTCAAAGATTCGTGGTGTCGAGAAGGTCGCCTCCATTACGCACCCTACACACCACGCGCACATACCAAACGATACATACGGGCATGACAACGTGTATGAACATAGTTGGCGAACGGGAACTGCCGTGGCCACGCCCACACGCAGTCGTCAAGACATTCACTCAAGCGGATTGGTCGGGGTTCAGAGTAGAAGTGCGAGTGAACTCGCAGTTAGATGGAGAGACAGGTGGTCACACCGCTGAAGTGGAATGTTCGTGGTGCACACAGCAAGTGCGAGTGAACTCGCACTTAGATGGAGAAATAGGTGCGCACACCATGAGCTCAAGTGTGTAATGTATAAGGAAATCGGCGTGTAACATCCATTCAGAACTTTCACTTCTACCGATGACGACAGGCCAGTGTGTACATGCGTTCATTCAAAGTTCGAAGAGGCGACCCGAACGTAAGACACTGCGRCGCATCGACTGGAGCATCTTCCGCGAACATAGAAATATATTTCATGCGAACGAACCCGGTCCTTCCGGCCAGAGACCTGCCTATAGCATCCCGTATAGAGGACGCTTGAGCTTCAACCTCACGCAAGCGTCCACATCGTCCACCTTACCCCTGATTACCAAATCCCATGTCCCTTCGTATTCTATTGTGACCAAACCGATAATCTCTCTCCCGAGGTGCAACTCATTTCTGGACACGTAGACCACAGCGTCAGTCAAGGTCCTACTCCGATTCGAACACGCGACGCAAAGGACCCTAGATAAGAATAAGTTTCTGAGACGCAATCTAACGCAGCAGTAGGAAACTGCTCGAGGCAACAGCCCTGGAGAGCGCAATGGGTACTCATCGAGGAACTCGGAATATCGTGCACAGGCAAGCAACTCTTGTTTCAGCGCACGGGACCATGTGCGCGGCGAAGCAGTCACGACGTTGCAGGCGAACACATTGTGATGACGAGGAATATTCAGCTTTGCACTCAAGCGACGACACCGAAATGAACCGAGCACAGCTCTAGGCACGGGAATGAAACTCCCAAACTCGCACATGTTAGCGAACTTATAGTCATCCGCCCACGGACACTCACTGAGCATTATGTCCCATTGAAGCTCTTCCCACGAGTCCAGGGGAGCATCAGTGAACGGGGGGACCTTTATCCAAGGATCACACTACATCTTGTCTCTTGTCCCACCGTCAATAACAGTGGAGTTTCCACTGCCGGAGACGCGCAGCGCGCATGGGGGAAAAGGGTATGCCATGCGCTCACGGCAATCACCTAGGATAATCAACTCCGACATGGCCATCGCGACCGGCAAATGCCCTGCAGGCCACAACAAAAAAAAATACAGCAAATGCTTTCACCCAGCTCACAGGGAAACAAAATAACCATGCCCCCCAAGGACGTCCGTCGAAACTCCGATGACGGGCGTCTTGTTGAACACGACCACCACAGCACGGCCGCACTGCACCCAGTCGGGCGAGAGGCACATCAACGGGCATGGCAGGAGAGAGAGAGAGAGAGAGAGAGAGAGAGAGAGAGAGAGAGAGAGAGA